CCCGACTCCGGCCCTTTGTCACTCCACATGTGCAGAACAGAAGTTACCCTGTGTCTGAGTAATCTACCTCTCAGATCAGAAAGGCAGCGTGTACCCCAGGACAGGGTGGAGAGGGGCAGGAGAGGAAACAGGGCGCCCAGGGAGTGAGTGGGCGAGTGCTGGCACACTGAGGGTGCAGCAGGGGAGTGGACACCAAATGGCCATGGCCTGCTGCTGAGTGTGAAACCGAGGGCCTGTCCTACTACCCTGGAGGCCTTCGCTGAACTCACAATAAAAAGTTTACAAACAAGAAATCCAGCGGCACTGATGTAGGAACACACCCCAAACTCCTGACCACAGGAGCAGAGGAATGCCAGAAGGCTGCTCTAAAGGGCGTAGGTGTCACACAGGGAAAAGAAGAGGGCACGGTACCCCGTGCTTAAGGCAGTCTGGCCTTCACGGCTGGTGCTGTCGGAGATTTTACAAGAAACACATCAAAATGGCTTCACCCATTTAAGTGTTATACGGATGCATCACAGCTGGTGCCAAATGAGTCAACAAGGCCTTCCTGACCCGAGGTAGCAGCGGTTACTCAGGTCCCTGCAACGCCCCCAGTGGACGGCCACGGAGCACACAAAGTGCCAACTGTGTACTGAAAGTTTCCAGGGAACAAGTGCCGCTGAGTAGGGCCTTGGCAAAGGACTGCCCGGCAGGGTCCAGCAGAACTGGGATCTGGGCCCTTGTCCCCTCTGGTCAGCCACCTCAGAGCAGCAGCACTAAGCAACTCTGAGAAAGCCATCCCCGCCTCCACGTGAGGGGGAGCTGCCGGGAGAGGGAGAAGAGAAGTACCGGCCGGCCGGCCGGCAAGAACACAGCTTCCTGAAGTGAAGCTCAGCATGAGGGCTACAGGTAAGAGGGAAGAAAGCTTATAAAAACTCAGCGAAGAGGGGGTGCTGCTCCCTCCAAATCTCATGCAGGCTGTCCCGTCAGGAGGCAAAGAAACCTGAAATGTTTGGATTTTATTTTCAAATGTGTAAAACATTTCAATCGCGCACAGGTGGCTGGGAGGTGCAGTTAGGTTAGACACCTGGCTGGTGACCAGTGGGCGGCCCCCAGGTGCTCCGCAGAAGCAGTATGTGTGGTCTGTGTCGAGAGGAGGGCGGCCTTGGAGGCCCAGATGGCAGCGCTACGCTGTCCCGCGGGTTGCTCTAGGGCGCAGGGACTCAACTGCAGCGGGGGGTGGGGGGTGTTTCCCTCCTCAAAGAGCGTGTGTTGCTAACCAGTCCCAAGTATGTTTTTTGCTTAATCATTGGAGTAATCAGGTGCACTGCAAACAAGTCAACACTGGTGATGTCTAAGTGCAGCCGGAGTGGCAACTCTGGTCTCAGCAAGCTCATGAGGCAACAATTCAAACAGGCTTGTGCATGCATCACCCCCAACTCCCACCCGTTCCTTCCATCGGCAAACACCCACCACCCAGCTGGGACCTCTATTAACAGTTGTACAGCCTTCCAGATGGCATGGCTATTTCTACAACGTTGTCCAGGTTTAGTGGAAAGAACAGAGTCTTTGGTGTAAACGTACGCGAGTAAAGGAATCGACCTGGGCCTGGACGTGCCCACCCTTAGGTCAGTGGAGCCATTCGTGTAAAAATCGAGCACGCCGGAAGGAGCAGGGGTGGAACGGAAGCACCCGGCGTGGCTTTTCTGTCCAGTCTTTGTAACCCCCACCAGATGCCTGGTGGGGCATGCAAGCAGGGTGTGTGAGACCGATACTGGGGCACCGGTCAGTTCTGTCATTCCACTGGGTACAAAGTGAGCCACTGCAGAAGCCGGGATGAAGAATCTCACGCCCACCAAGGGAAGGGCCCAATGCAGAGCATAATGTCTGAGACCCCTGAGTGGAAAGGCAGCTGCACCAGAGGGCAGAGCAGAGTAGGGCAGCAGCCAGCTCACAGGAGGAATCAGGCGGAGTGCCTTGAAGCAGGAGGGCGGCTTGCCGAGTGGGCTACCCTTTGAGGGAGTCTTGTAACACTTGCCTGAGCAGGGAAGAGACCAAGGACCAGAAACTGATGTGCCTGTCAGCATGCTGAGTACAGATGCAGACAAAAGAACTGCACCCTTAGCGTTTCTGATCCTGGCTTTTGACCTGTGAGCTCCCCGATAAACCCTCATAATTGCATTGTCAGTGAGTTGTGTGGCCAGTGCAGCAGGTGACTGAGCCAAGAGGAGCAGAAAGCCACAGAGTGGCTGATACCAGAACAGGGTAAAGAAGGGGGCAAAGAGGAGGAAGCAGGTCTGACCTCGGCCTCCTGGGAACTGGCCTTGGCTTGCTCGAGTCTGAGAAGCAGAGGTCAGTGTGGGCCCCACGCCATTTCCTCAAAGGGTTTACAGAAGTGTTTCCCAAAGTGGGGGATAACACCCCTTGAGGGAAGTGCTGGAACCATGCAGGAGGGCTGCAAAAGCAGCCCCTGCCCTTGACCCTGGATCAAGCAGGGCTACGGGATAAACGTTTCTCATGCCAGGGGAGCGCCGAGTCTTTTTTTTCCCCTGACAAGGGGCAGTCAGCCACATCGGTTTGGGAACCACTGGTTTTTCCCTGGGTGGGAAGAGGCCAGAACTGGGTGCTGTCACAACAAAGGAGAGCACGAAGGCATGGAACTCAGAGAACAATCTGGCTGGGGCTCCACAAAGACGCCGGCCGCTCGTGCAGCCCTGAGACTGACCGTGGCCAGCAGGAAGGAAGCCAGTGGCCTGTGTGCTCACAGCATGTGCCCTCGCTGCTTTTTGATCTGGCCATGTTTATGTTCCTCCCCACCTGACAGGCCTGCAAGAAACAGAGGGACATCACCTGCCTTCTGGAAGCATCAGGCCCCAGGGGCTCTTCTCCCCAGTCAGGCCAAGGAATTAAGAGCAGAAAGGTCGGGAGCTGGCACTACACTGGAACCTTGCTGCTTCCGACCTTGGGATGCTCTCAGCTAGCTGACGAGAAAAGCGCAGCTGTATGGAAGGAGAAAAGCTGAAATATACGTTGGATGGAGCTGATTAGGCCCTCTCGGCCTGCCCCTGTGGAGCAGTCACGTGGGATCGGCGGCCAATGATCTGGGGTTTTCAATGGGTTTACCCTGTGAAGTTATACTTAAAGCGCATGCAACACCACGTCTGCAAAGGGCGCTTAAATGACCTTCCCGCCTCACCTTCCTCTCTTCCCCCAGCCTGTCTGATTGCTTGAGACACTCCCCGCTCTCACAACTTTCAGCAAATGCTACGTCTCAGTGGTAAAAACCAAAAGCCAAACTCACTCCCACTGAGTGGTCGCCGAGCATAGGACCCTACAGGACTGGGGAGATCCGCCCCTGCGAGTTTCCGAGACTCACTCTTCACGGGAGTAGGAAGCCGTGATGAAATTTCTCCCCCAGAGCAGCTGGTGGTTTCAAACAGCCATCCGTGCAGTTAGCAGCCCGATGCATAGCCACTACGCCACTGCGGCTCTTAAACCTTGCTAAAATTACACACATTCCCAACAGAGGGGGCAGTGCCGAGGGATTTCCCAAATCGTGTTTAGAACAAATCTAGGGGCTTTGAGTGCTGTTGAGGATGACTGCTGAACTGATTCACGTGCCTCTACTCCTGTTCCCCTTACAGGGAGTCCCTGGAGGGCTGCCAGTGGTTAACGCCCTCGACAGCTCACCAAAGGGGCAAGGACTGAGCTCACCCAGAAGCACACTGTTAGAAAGGCTTGGCAGTTCCTTCCAGAGCATCAGCCACTGGCCACACCGAAGGCAGTTCTCTGCAGCACTAGGGTGCCAGGAGTCAGACCTGACGCAGTGGCCGAACCTTGGTCAAGTTGAAGTACTTCCCAAGCTAACTGAATATTACTGGAATTTTTTGATATTCAAATAAAGCCAATGAGTGTCACGTCTACAGGTCCATTGGGGGTAAGATGAAAGCTCACCAACATGTCAGCCTGGCTAAGGGTTATAGCTCCTAGCATCCCAAGTTAACTGGCCCACTGCCCCTATGCGGGGGGTGGGGGGGGAGGAGTGATTATTTAGCACTCACCCTGGCAATTAGAAATTTGTACTACAGCTCATTATCCAAGATAAAGGTTACACAAGGTCAGCAGTTTGAACTCACCAGGTGCTCTGCGGGAGAAAGATGAGGCTTTCTACTCCTGCAAAGCTTCACAGCCTTGACACCCGCGGGGCTGTCCCCTGTCCTACGGGTCTCCGGTCACAGCCTCGACACCCGCGGGGCTGTCCCCTGTCCTACGGGTCTCCCGTCACAGCCTCGACGCCCGC